AAGAGGCAGAGGCTGCAGTGAGCTGATATCACGCCACTGCACTCCAGCCTGGGCCACAGAGCGAGACTCTGTCTCAAAGGAGGAAAAAAAAGGTTGTGGAGGTAGGAATCACGCATGAGAAGGAATTAGAAGGAATTTACCTGCTGACATTCCACAGCACATTTGCTGGGCACAGAATGAGGGGTCCTGAGTCCTTCTGCACTCACTTCGTGGGATCATCAGGAAAGGCGGGGGGTTGGATTTGAGCCAAACTTTGAGGGCTGGGTAGAATGTAGAAGGGACCAGGAGCTTTTCTAGAGAGTGGGTAGATGGGAGGTGCAGCAGTGGGCCAGGCAGGGCGCAGTAAGAAGGCAGGCCTGGCGGGAGTAGAAGCCTGTGCTGGGAGCCCGGCAGGAAGGCTGCAGAGGTCCGCCTGTCCCTGTTTTGCTTGCCCCAAGTGTCAGATAAGGAGGGTGGGCTTGATTCGTGGAACAGATTATTCCTGCCAGTGGCCCAGGGTTGACCCCAGACCCGGTGCTCTCCAGGCTGATATACTGGTGAGGACAGGTTCCATGGGTTTCCCTCCAGCCATTGTCTGCCTGACGCCTGTTTTCCTGGAGATGAAGAATATTCTACCCTTAAGTGCAAGGGTGGAGACAGTAGAAACTTGGAGTTCCTGGGGCCACAGGGCCTGAATGGGCTGTCATTTTTGTAGTGGCCTGGGGTGCTCTGAGTTGAGTCCTAGTGGGACTCTGGTGGGGGAGGCCTTCCGGCTGGTGCCAAGCAGGGACACATTTGCTCTTTGTGAAGATGAGGGGTGGGGAGGGAATGCTGAGCACAGAAATCCACCTTTCCCGTCTCCTCCCTCAGGAGGCCCTGTTACTCTTGCAGGCTGTCACTCTGACATCAGAGCCACTTTCCTCGTAGGCTTCAAAGCTTCCTACACGCCATTCAAACCCATACCACCCGCTGGTGCAGACTGCCCTTCCTCAAGTTCACACCACTCGCGAGCTCATGGCCTTCTGTAGCTCCTCACATCCACCGGGGCTAAATGCCAGTCCCTTTGCCAAGTGTCCAGGGTCCCTCGCTGCATGACTGGGAGCAACTTTTCCAACCCTGTCACCTGTGGCTTTTGTTTCTGCCAAATCAAATGTCTGCTCCTCTTTCTTCTGAGCCTTTGTTCAGCCTCGTCCTCACCAGCTCCAGAATGAACACCTACTCATCCTTCAAAACCCATCTACAATGCTGACCCTTATAGAGCCCTAGTACATCCCTGCCTGGCAGACACCGATCGCTCTTTCCAGCCTGCCCCGGCTCATCTCATACTCTTCTGACCAAGTGTTTTTTCTGTTTGCACAGTATTCCTTAAGCCCTCTTCCCACCCTGGCAGAGAGCTCCTTGGGGCCAGGGAATAGCTCTCATCCACTGGCTGCCACACAGGAGTCCCCTCTCCAGTTGCTCGGGGAATGTTTGTGACCTGAAACAGGGAGACAGGAGAGGAGGTGGCTTCAGGGTGGCCTGCGCTGCCGTGCAGGTTGGCTTTCCTTTGGACCCTTTGCTGAAGCCTCGAGGATGTCCCCACTCCCACTCCTAGTGGCGCTGTAACTTGTACCAAGCGGAAACATGTCCTGGCTTCCTGGGCAGGCTGTCTGGGCAGGCGTGGGGAGGCACAGCGGCTCTAGCGGGCCTTGGTGCGTCCCACATCCTGGACTCTTCAAGAACAAGGAGACCAGGTTCTAGATCTTTGCACAATTTAGGAAAATAAGTGTTTTCATCAAAGGCATTTGAAATCCAACTAGAAACAAGTCATTCTCAGTTCTCAGAGTGGATTTATAAATTCTTTAGGCAGTGTGAAAGCCCAAATTCAGTCTCTTAGGATTAATAAAAGCTCTGCTGTTGCATTGGCCGGGAAACGAACCTGGGCCTCCCGCGTGGCAGGCGAGAATTCTACCACTGAACCACCAATACCCAGATGTTAGCAGCTGTGTGTGCACCTCCCTTTAACCCCATTCCTGTGCCTCCTTGCGTGTAAGTTGATTCATAGAATATGAAGCCAGTCTCTGATGCTGCCACATCAGCACAGTTGCAGGAATGGAGCGCTCAGGCTGCAGAAAAGGAGGGAGAAGGCAGGAAGCAGGAGGGTGTACGTGTGCGTGTCCAGTTGATTTGCCTTCAGACCTTGCAACAGAAACCAAAGCTTGAGTCTTTCTTGGTAGCAAAAGTATATTAAAACTTTGGGGGACTTTTTCCCCTCTGATGTTTGAGTCCTCCCACCACATTCTGCCTTTAGTCTTGTGTTAAACTGTGTTACTGTTCTCAGGTTTCATGCCAGCTTCCTGTGGAAGACTGGCCAAGGCTGAGGACAGCACAACAGGAGTCCCCTTAAGGTGCAGGCATCAAGTTCATGGCTCCACAGCCATAGAGAGTACTTCTCTGGAGAACCCAGCAGCTCGCATGTGCACATGTAGCAGGGAAGTGTGGTTCCAGATTTGTGGGCACCCTTGGCTGCTGCAGGTCTCGTGTAGTTGGAGAGACTGACTGGCTCCTCTAGCAGGATGTCTCTGTGAGGAAAACTGGCCAGGAAAAGGCAGAAAAAGCAACACTGCATTGCATTGGCCGGGAATCGAACCCGGGCCTCCCGCGTGGCAGGCGAGAATTCTACCACTGAACCACCAATGCTCCAGCTGTTTGTTAGAGCATCTGCAGGGCATTTGGCAAGGGGCTGTCTCTGTCAATACTTAGGCACTCTGACAGATGATTGGGTCTCACCTGGCTGGTTTGTCCAGTTTGGGAGACCAGACAAGTTGATGTAGAACCATCCTTGCCCCGCCTTAGTACACTGCTTTGAGAGTTGGGGCCTATGAACTGGAGTTCACCTTCTGTCCAGAGGCCGTGGGTTCATCCACAGTCCCATCCCCATAAAGATCAAAGCAAGGGGCAACTCACAGGCCACTTGTACAGCTCCTTCCTGAAGCACCCATCTCCTCTCCAACGTCCACCAGCCCAGAGCGAGACCTATTTTGTCACCTCTTGCGTGAACAGTGCCTGGTGCATGATGGGTGCTCCATGTGATTGGCTGTATTAAATCTTTACCAAACCACTGCCCGGTCCCTCTTTGAACAGCCTTTTTGCAGGAGTGCTCACTGTCTCACAGGACAGCACATTTGGTTTTAATTACTAGAAAGTCCTATCTCTGATTAGTAGAAAGTGCCTGAGCTGGAACCACACAGACTAATGGACACCTTTTGGACATGATTATTCTTAAAATTCTTCAAGTCAACTTGAGACCCCATTTGTGGAAGAGGTGAGCAAGATAACTGCCATGATTGGATGCAAAGCAAGGAGGGAGAGTGCCTGCAGTTACTTTTTCAAGTCTGAAGTCTCTAGACTGCCGTTTTTCCACCTTCAGTGGCTCCACCAGTGTCATCCCTCATGCCTCCTGTCCTCATCTCGCAAGCATCTCCAGGCTCCTTAAGACAGCCTTTCATATGCCCAGCTCCCTGGTACATGAAATCTATTCTTCTAACTGGGGATTCCCAGGTTACCACCAGCAGCCCATCCCGCTGCTGTTCTGTTCTCTGGGGCCCCAGACAAGGGTGCTTACTTCCGCATCCTCACCTCTGCTAACAGGACTCCTTTTGCCAGGAAGGCCCGTTTCTTTCCCTTCTGCCTCCTTCAAGATCCAGCTCCATCCCACTTCCAGGCAGACTTCCCTGACCACCCCAGCTGCCTCTTCTACATCAGTGATCTGGGGCATCCTGCCACCACGTGCCATGTGAGACCTGTCGCCCCAGAGATGCTGTGAGCTTTGGGAGGGCAGAGGCCTGGCCTTCGTATCCATGGGGCTCTGAAAACAGACTAGTCTATCGTGGGGTCAGGCCTTCCTCAGCTCCAGCACTCGGGGCAGGGCCTGCCTGGGGAGTCATCCTCCCTGGGTGACCAGCAGCCGCTCCCTCCCACAAAGGCAGCCTCCCTCCGACCTGCTCCTCTCCCCGCCAGCGTCACTGCCCAGGGAGACACCTTGGGGACACTGTCTACCCTACCCTCCTCTCCCCTCTTGTATCAGCTATTAATGCTTTTCCATTTAATTCTAGAAACATTCCCCGCTGCTCTTTCCGACTGCCTCAGTCACATTTCAGGACCTCCTTACCCCATAGCTACAGTGCTCTCCTGAACGTCCCCAGCATCAGTCTCCCGTCAAACCCATGCCTGCCCCAGCCCTGCTTCTCCAAGCCACCACCGGCGATGTCCAGTTGGAACATGGGGCTGAGCGTGTCATCCCTTGCTGGAAAACTCCCACCAGCTCATCGTTTCCTTACCTGTCTCTAGCCACTCCTTCCACACGCTGGAACCCTCGTCCCGTTCCAGATATGCCATGTCAGCTTGCGTGGCCTTGGCCTGGTTCTTCCCTATGCCCGAGGTGCCCTGCCTTCCTTTCTTTACCTGGAAAGTGCCTGTTACTGTTTTTAAGATCTGACTCAACTGGCACCTCCCTGTAGCCCTCCCGGACGGCCCGAGGAGACGGAGCTCATTGCATTTTCTTGCTTCTGTGATATCACTGGCGCCACTTTGCTACAACTATTTGTTTGCATGTGGATCTTACCCATTACGCTGGGGCCTGTGTCCTAGCAACGTCCCTAGAAATAGTCGCTCAGACGCAGAGGGTTTCTGAGATGCACGGATGGAAAGCTGAGTAAGTGTTGAATAAAGACAGTTTATCAACTGATGATGCATTGTACTTTTTTGGTCCCAATGACACATTCATTTGCATTCTCTGAGATTCCCAGAAGTGAGCTAGCACCACTGTTCCTTATTCCATTGTACACAGAGGGAAACTGAGACCCAGAATAGGGAAACAACCATGGCTCAGCCAGCAACAGAACTGAGACCTGCCCTGAGACGCCCATCTCCCAATTCCTCTTTCCAAACAGGTCATCTCCCTTCCTCATTGCAGCCCCAGGCCCTGGAGGCCGCAGCAGAGGTAGCCTGATTTCCACAGCCCCTCTCTCCTCTCTCTCCAGGCTGGTCCGGGAGTTCGTGGCCCAGAACAATACCGTGCAAATCAAGCATGTGATCCAGACCCTGTCCCAGGAGTTTGCCCTGTCTCAGCACCCCCACAGCCGGAAAGGGGGCCTCATCGGCCTGGCCGCCTGCTCCATCGCACTGGGCAAGGTGGGCCTTTCACTCAAAGAACAGACATACCAGTCCCGGCCTTGACGCTAACCAAGCCATCCAGACGCCCTCCCTCTCAAGACCCAGCAGGGCATTGCAGACCTGTGTTTTATTACCACTCTGTCCACACCTGAGACCAGCAAGTCTGGCTTTGCGGCCCGGCAGCCTGGTCCCCTAGGCGTGGGCCCTCTCCTGGGTAGCAGACTTGGGAAGGGTCTTTGAGTCCAGCTCTGGCACAAAGGCCTGAGCACCTCCAAGGGAGGTGGGATGTCAGCTGGCACTGCAGGCTGCAGGGCCTGGGCTCCGACCCATTCTGATCTGTCTTCTATTCCTCCTGCCCCCTCGCAGGACTCAGGACTCTACCTGAAGGAGCTGATCGAGCCAGTGCTGACCTGCTTCAATGATGCAGACAGCAGACTGCGCTACTATGCCTGCGAGGCCCTCTACAACATCGTCAAGGTGGCCCGGGGCGCTGTGCTGCCTCACTTCAACGTTCTCTTTGACGGGCTGAGCAAGGTAACCGCCCTCCTCCTCCTCCTCTCTGGGCTGCGCTTGGTTCACCCACTTCACTTGACCTTCTGGAACACTGGACCCCTTTTCCCAGATGCAGGCAGAGGAAACAAGCATGTGGCTGCAAGGGACACTTATTGTCTATTGAATCTAATCATTTTTAATGGATTTGCGTTTATACCTTTTTTCATTTCTCTTTTAATTCATTTTGATGGCATTTGATGTAAGTATCAGTCTGTCACACAGTAGAGGGGAGAAACTGATAGTCTGTGAAACACTCGCCTCCCTGGTAGAAGGAGATGATGCTGAAGCCGTCACCCAGACCATACTTCCCCTGTAGGGAGGGCCACACTTAGTCTAGCTCATAAGTGCCCCAGAAAAAGCTCATGCTCTCCTCCATGCCTCTCGCAGCCTGGTGGAGTTCTCCTCCCAGGCGCAGAGCAGCCCTGCAATGCTGCTGCCCCTACAGGATGCCATGGAAGTTTCTAGAGTATCAGCCTCGCAGCTACCCTGTCCCCTCCTCCAGGAGTGGAACGAGGACCCAGCACTTGAAGATTGGAAACCCCTGGGGAAGGCTGACGGGAAGCGGCCCCGTGACCCAGTCACGACAGGGAACAGGAACCCCAGCGGGTCATAGGAGAAGTCCCTGAACAGAAGGGTGTTTCCTAAATCTGCTCATCGGCCGACTCCACTGTCCCCACTCCCACTTTCCCAGCCCTTCTCAAATGTGTTCGCTGAGAGGGGGGCCTGCTGGATGTTCCGGGCTGCACCAAGGCCCCGGCTGCGGGTTTGCAGGAAATCCCTGGTGTTGCATCCGACCGTGACCCTCGCCTCTGTGTCCCTCCCCTCTCTGTGCCTCTTGCAGCTGGCGGCCGACCCAGACCCCAATGTGAAAAGCGGATCTGAGCTCCTAGACCGCCTTTTAAAGGTATTTGTACTTCATCCCCACTTTTATTTCTATAATCTATTTCTCCCATCTGTCTGTACAGCTTAGAAATTCTGTCATTGGGAATGTTCTTCTTGAATTTAAAATATGTTTTAAATTTACATGTACTCCCTGGTGTGCAGTTCTATGACAAGAATATAGAGCTCGATCACCACTATCAAATACAGAACTGTGCCATCCCCTGAAATGTCCCCTTTTGTTGCCGCCACCTAAAGCAAAGAAGCTTGCCTGTCACTTTCCACACCACCCTGGCTCTGACACAGGGGCCTGGGCATTCCATCCAGACCACAGAGAGTAGGGTCTTGCCATTCAATTGGTTCTCTCTACTTTGATTCCTGCTTTCAATCTACCCATTTTGCGTGTCCCGTGGACTGGGACAGGATGAATAGTCCAGAGACCTCTTAGGCCTAGCTCGGAATCTGCCGTTTTCCTCGGTGGCCGCCTGAGCGCTGGAGCCAGCCCTGGGCCAGTGATTCAGCGAGGTCAGGCAACCCTGGTCTCAGGCTCTCGGCAGCTCACTTTCCTCCGATCCACAGGACATCGTGACTGAGAGCAACAAGTTTGACCTGGTGAGCTTCATCCCCTTGTTGCGAGAGAGGATTTACTCCAACAACCAGTATGCCCGGCAGTTCATCATCTCCTGGGTAAGGCCTGACTGGACACCGTTTCTCCAGCCTCCAGTTTGGAAAATCTGCTCCCTAGCACACTCTTGTCAGGTCCTTTGGCTGTAGGAACCCTCCATGCTCTCCCTCGAATAGCCATTAACACCTGATAATTCAAAAACGCCTCATTCAGCTTTGCCCCCGAAACCCACCATGTTGGCCCTAAAGGGGTCCAGTTCTTGTTGTCCCTGAAGGGGGTTCAGTTCTTTCCTTGTGCCAGAAAACACCCGGGTTTCTCTTTAAAGCCAGCAATACTACTTTCAGCAATCTCACTTTTTCTAGCCTTGTCTGTCCTTCCCCATCCATCCCCTTCTCCCCTGGGCATCCGAATTTCCTTACAGGCAAATTACCATTCCCCTGCACATTTAACAAAAAATGCTGGCTGTCCCTGCCAGCACCCTCCTCCCCCATGGGACGCCTGCACTGCAGGGCAGTGCGGTCTCAGCAGGGTCCCCTTCCCACGGCCCAGTCCCAGAGGCTTTGGTGAGCGGGAGACAGGGTTCTGGAGCTAATGTGACTTCCCCCCCTGTTTCCTTCCCCTGGTCAGATCCTGGTTCTGGAGTCGGTGCCAGACATTAACCTGCTGGATTACCTGCCGGAGATCCTGGATGGACTCTTCCAGATCCTGGGCGACAATGGCAAAGAGATTCGCAAAATGTGAGTGGAGTGAGGGGCAGGAAGCTGCTACCTGCTGCCACCCCTGGCTGTGCCCGTGTGCTTCATGCCCACAGACAGACAGCACAGGAGGGCAGGAAGTTAGCACTTTTTCCTGGCTCTTGTGCTTCTCGCTTTGAGGAGTCAAGAGCCCATCAATCCCCAGCATCTGAAAATGATCATGTGACAGGTCCAGAAGCCAAGCCGCCCTCTGGGTGGCTGACCCAGCACGGAAATGGGGCTGGTTCAGGCTTCTCCAGCCCTGGCTGACTCTCGCTGTTTCCACTTTCCTGTTCTTGTTTATAGGTGTGAGGTTGTTCTTGGAGAATTCTTAAAAGAAATTAAGAAGAACCCCTCCAGTGTGAAGTTTGCTGAGATGGCCAACATCCTGGTGATCCACTGCCAGACCACGGGTGAGTGTGGGGGGAGGGCCCACAGCCACGGCTGCCACTGCCACTGCCACTGCCACCTCCGCAGAAGCACCTTTCACCATCTCAGCTTCAGTGAAGGGGTAGGAGAGATTCCTGGAAAGAGTGTTAGCCAGTGTGACACCAGGCCCTGGGAGAGGTGGAGCGCCAGGTCTCTCAGAGGGAGGTCTGGGTTCTGTCACCGCAGAGGCACAGAAGTCCTTTCACCTGGTGTGTGTGGCCTCTGTGAAATAAGATCTGGAGGTTTCCTTGCTGGCGAACTTGGCCTTAGCCCTGAGACTTGAAATGCATGGAGCTTGGGATTATGTATCTGTTCACTTCTGCTGAGTATCAAACCACCGCAAAACATCATTCCCTAAAACAACAGTCACTTACCATGAGTCTGTGGGTCACCTGAGTGGTTCCACTCACTTGGGCCAGGCTTGGCTGGGCTCAGTCAAGTACCTGCTTTAACTGTAGGGTTGCTGGAGTGAATGGGCCACAGTGGCCTCGCTCATGTCTGGCAGTTGTCTGGCTCATGGTATGCTGGGACCATGGGGACAGCACGTGTCTCATCGTCCAGCAGGCTAGCCTGGGCATGCTCATATGGTATCAGTGGGACTCCAAGACAACAGAAGTAAGCAAGGCCTGTTGAGGCCTAGGCTTGAACCAGCCACATCATCACTTCCACCACATCCCATTGGCCAAAGAAGCAAGGCCAACCCAGATTCAAGGGCTGGAGAAGTTAATTCCACTTCTTGATGAGAGGAGGAGCAGAGTCCCAGTGCAGAGGGTCAGGGATGCAGCTGCCCTTACAGTCTAGCACAGGATTGTAGCTCTGTCCCAGCCTGTGTCTCCACCTTCGGAAGGCAAAGCACATAGGTAATAGAGTATTGGTGAGGCTGGAAGCCGTTAAGCGCTCGGGTTCCACAGGCCGCCAGCCCCATCCCATGTGTATGGTCAGTGGGAGGGAGCACTCGGGTTGCGCGTGCTGGCCCCTCTGAACCCCCTGATTCCTCTTCCAGATGACCTCATCCAGCTGACAGCCATGTGCTGGATGCGGGAGTTCATCCAGTTGGCGGGCCGCGTCATGCTGCCCTACTCCTCTGGGATCCTGACTGCTGTCTTGCCCTGCCTGGCCTACGATGACCGCAAGAAAAGTATCCTTTGCTCTGGGAGAGAAGAATTGAGAGAAGCCCCAAAGGGATTATGAAGTTGAGGGACCCTGCACTGGGGGCTGGGGGCTCTCTTAGGATCCATCACACTTCCATAGTCCCTAGCAGCTTGGGAAAAAGAGGTGGAGCCAAACATGGATTGAGAAAGCCGGGGACCTGGGGTTGAACCTTGCCTGGTTACTTGCAGATCTGGAGCAGCTTTCCCGGGCCCCAAAGTTCCAACCCTCTGAGCCCACACTGCCCGACCTTGGGCTGGGGAAATCCCGTTGGTGGGAGGGTTTAGGAAGGGGTCCTAAGAGAAGAAATAGGCACATTTCACAGGGGCACCAGTATGGCAAGGAGAGCAGGGACTCAGCCTGTCTGCCTAACGTAGCCCTGAGACGACTGAGCTCCAGACTAGGAATACCAGGTTCAGAGAAGCCGCCTCTGGCTGGGACCACTCTATATTAACCCATTTTGTGTTGTTATAAAGGAATACGTGAGGCTGGGTAATTTATAAAGAAAAGGGGTTCCTTCAGCTCCTGGTTCTGCAGACTGTACAGGAGGCATGGTGCCAGCATCTGCTTGGCTTCTGGTGAGGCCTCAGGAAGCTTTTAGTCATGGCAGAGGCGGAGGGGAAGCCAGCAGGTCACATGGCAAGAGCGGGAGCAAGAGGGGTGGGAGGCTCTTTGAAAGAACCAGCCCCCACACAAATAATAATAGAGGGAGAACTCACCCAACTCACTCAGTACCATGGGGAGGGCACCAAGCCATTCGTGAGGGATCCACCCCCGTGACCCAAACCACTCCCACCAGGCCCCCCTTCCAACACTGGGAATCGCATTTCAGCAAGAGATTTGGAGGGATAGGCATCCAAACCAGATGATGCTCCTTACATCAGTGGACTCAGGCATCAAAGAGGTGGCCAACGTGTGCAACCAGAGCCTGATGAAGCTGGTCACCCCCGAGGACGACGAGCCGGATGAGCTGAGACCCGGGCAGAGGCAGGCAGAGCCCGCCCCTGACGATGCCCTGCCAAAGCAGGAGGGCACAGCCAGTGGTGAGTAGACTCCACCCCTACCCCTCACCTCCTGTTGGGGGCCCGGGAAGCCAGAAGTCATGGGACTTGCCTTGGAGCCTCACTTAAGCAGCCAGGACATATATAATATGTCACTCACATAATTGTAGCAGCAACCCAGCGCAGTGGCAGCGGTGGTTATCCCCCGTTCTGCAGACAGGACACAGGGAAGCTGAGCAGCATGGCCACACACTCGCAGCTAGTGAAGGCTGGAACCGGATTGGAACCCAGGCAGGCTGTCTCCAGCAGCCATGATCTTAACCCTTACTGCCTCAAAGACCATGAAGGCTTTCCTTCATCTTTTTCCTGGGTTCAGCTATAGGAAATAGTTTTCAGGGCAGGAAGGTTTGAAGCATGGGAGGAGTACCAGGATTCAGCACTTGATTCTTGGCCGTAGACATCCAGCCACCCAGAAGCCTGGCTGCCTTTACCATGCGGGTCATTCTCAGGGTGGGAGGGTTAAGAAAGCTCTAGCTTCGATTGATTCTGTACTTGAAAATTCTATTGCCCAAATAAGTGCCTTTAAAAAGTGAAGTTGCTCTGCTCTCCTTTCAGACTCCTCTAACATAATTTTCTTGTTTACCTGTAAGGTAAAGAAAACCACATTATAAGAAACCGCATTTATGACTAGGCTGGGTAATCCCAGTACTTTGGGAGTCTGAGGCAATCTGCATGAACTCAGGAGTCTGAGACCAGCCTGGGCAACATGGCAAAACCCCATCTCTAAAAAAAAAATATTAATAAATTAGCCGGGTGTGGTGGTGCATGCCTATAGTCCCAGCTCCTCAGGAGGCTGAAGTGGGAGGATCACTTGAGCCCAGGAGCCCAGGAGGCAGAGGTTGCAGTGAGCTATGATCACACCGCTGTATTCCAACCCAGGCAACAGAGAAACACCCTGTCTCAAAACAAAACAAAAACACATTTATGCCGACTGGCATCTGGAATTTGACTCCAAATGTTATCTGGAACCCTGATGCTTTCATATTTCTTGGGTCTCTGTCCTCACCAAGAGGTCACTGATCAGCTTTGGGGTGATGTCCTCCTTTGCCGAAGCAGCCAGAGAATAAACTGAGGTATAACCTACTCAGATCTTTAAGGATAACAGAGTAAGGTTTGGAACCTGCCCACAGGAGCCAAAAGAATTGCTGAGAATTCTCCCATTGCCATTCATGTACTTTTCTTTTGTACAGCTGAGCAGAATGTCAGGCATGCATGCCCCACCTCCTCCCGTGGGTTTGGCTGGTAAAATCCAGCAGCCGTCCATGCTGGACCCATCTCAGGTGTCAGGTTACAGCTGTGCCAGCACAGCTATGAGCCAGAGCACCAAAACAGCTGGAGGCAGAGCAGCACTCAGCTGGAGCATTGGTGGTTCAGTGGTAGAATTCTCGCCTGCCACGCGGGAGGCCCGGGTTCGATTCCCGGCCAATGCAGCAGCTGCAAGCTTTTTGGCAGCTCCTGGAAAAAGAAAACTTGGAGAAGTAAGTTAACTTGGAGAGAGAAGCTAGTGCGGGCCTTCAAAGGGAGGAGCTTTTTTACTGGGAGAAACTGGAAGACTCGGGGATACATATTTTATGACCTCTCACTGAAATATGAGTGTTTGATTTTTGTTTTCTAATTCTCATTTTAGAAAATTTGGAAAGGAGAGAAAAATGCAAAGAAACAAGACTATCCCCAACAGGCAATGAGTATTCAAATTTTGACGTATTTTTTCCAGTTTTTAGTATATACATAGTTAAGATCATAGAACTTACACAGCTTCACCTTCTGCTCTGTTTGAAGTTCACAGTGCCTCTTAAGCCATAGTCAGAAGATAGAGTAACAGTTGCCTGGGTTTGAAGAAAAGGAGAATTGGGACTGGCTACTCACAGATGCCTGGTTTCTTTTTGGGGTGATGGAGATGTTCTAGAATTAAATAGAGGTGATGGGTACACAGCTTCGTAAATGTGCTATACCTAGTTGAACACTGGAAAATGGTGAATTTTTTATGTGAAATCTTATATGAATTATATCTGAATTTAAAAAAAAAAAAAAAAGGCAGTGCCTATTCCTTTAAATTAGAACCCAACAGCCCCTGCCACCTTTCTGCTTATGTGGCAAGAAGTCGAGCCCACTGGAAAGGAACCACTCCATCCTGTGGGTCGTGGCCTCAACTAAAAACATCTCTGCCAGCTGGAGCATTGGTGGTTCAGTGGTAGAATTCTCGCCTGCCACGCGGGAGGCCCGGGTTCGATTCCCGGCCAATGCAGCCTGTCTACCTCTTTAGATGGTTTTCCTGAGCATTTTTTCACACAGCTGCTTGCCCAGGAGAGTATTACCCTAACCAGGATACATTCATGCTTCTTGGCTCTGAATTTTACTGCCTCATAAACAGCATTTCAGCAGATGAAAAGCACACTTTGTACTAGTTCCCAGAGAAGGTAACAGCTAATTTGGGGCCTTTACATCCACTCTCAGCCCAGCTTAGCTTGTAACTAACTAATCACTAGTCTTTTACCAAGGTGCCCAGGAGAAAGTCCCCGCCAGCCACAAGACAGAGATGGCTTTGCTGGTGAGGGACAGGTTCATCACAGCCTCTCCTGCTCGCTCTTCTCTCTCTGCTCCCTCTGTTCCCACCCGGTTCCACCTGGCTGGAGATAGGACCTCCTGCCTGGCCTTCCTTGTTTACTTGTGCTGATCTGGGACAGCACCACATTCCTCATGGCACACCTCCGGGCAAGAACCTTTGTGTGTGTGCACATTTGCACCCCTGCCCCACCCTCTGGATCTTCTCCCTCCTCCTCTAACCACAGGACTTCCAGTCAGGCAGCCCCTCATCTGTGCCTCTTCACTTACTCTGACTCCGCCTTGGCCTGCCACTTGGGGCCATCCACAGCACTGTGCCCTTTCCCTGGTTCTGAGTTCTTAGGGCACTTAGCGTGTCCAGCCTGGTCCTCTCCAGGACGTGTCCTGATTGTCTCAGGAATGGCAGCAGAGATTCTGGGGTCTGAACAACCTGCCTTTGAGTCCTGCTGACTTTATATCTGTTCCCCTCAGACAGCTGCCTGCCCTTTCTAAGCCTCAGATTTCTTATTCATTAAGTAGGGTAACAATGGTAATACCTAACCTATACTATGGTTGTGTGTTTCAGACAAAATTTTTGCATGTAAATCACTTAGCACATGACAAACACTAACGGGTGCTTCAGTGGTTGTTTTAATACATGTTTATGGCTGGGCACGGTGACTCATGCCTGTAATCCCAGCACTTTGGGAGGCTGAGGCAGGCGGATCCTTTGAGGTCAAGAGTTCGAGACCAGCCTTGCCAACATGGTGAAACCCCATCTCTACTAAAAATACAAAAATTAGGGGCCGGACACGGTGGCTCACGCCTGTAATCCCAGCACTTTGGGAGGCCGAGGTGGGCGGATCACGAGGTCAGGAGTTCGAGACCAGCCTGGCCTGCATGGTGAAACCCCATCTCTACTAAAACAAAAAATTAGCCAGGCATAGTGGTGCACACCTATAGTCCCAGCTACCTGGGAGGCTGAGGCAGGAGAATTGCTTGAACCTGGAAGGTGGAGGTTGCAGTGAGCCGAGATCACACCATTGCAGCCTGGGCAACAGAGCAAGATTCCATCTCAAAAATAAAAAAAAACCTGGTAGAATTTTTTTAAACAAGGACCACAAGCAAAAATTATTTAAAAAAAAAAAAAAAAAAGGCCGGGTGCAGTGGCTCACGCCTGTAATCCCAGCACTTTGGGAGGCTGAGGCGGGTGGATCACGAGGTCAGGAGATCGAGACCATCCTGGCTAACATGGTGAAACCCCATCTCTACTAAAAATACAAAAATATTAGCCAGGCGAGGTAGCGGGCGCCTGTAGTCCTAGCTACTCGGGAGGCTGAGGCGGGAGAATGGCGTGAACCTGGGAGGTGGAGCTTGCAGTGAGCCGAGATTGTGCCACTGCACTCCAGCCTGGGTGACAGAGCAAGACTCTGTCTCAAAAAAAACAGATTGAAACACACCATATTTAAATTAAAAGCTGAAGCTGGTGTGGTGGTACGTATCTTTAATCCCAGCTACTCAGGTTGCTGAGGCAGAAGGATACCTTGAACCCAGGAATTTGAGTCCAGCCTGGGCAATATAGCGAGACCCCATCTCAAAACAAAATAAAATTGGTGTAACTGAAAAAAGGTTAAAAGTTACAAGGCAAGACCCAGACTGGGAGAAGATATTTGCAATGTATTTTGTCATTAAAGAGTTAGTATCCAAACACAAGAAAGAGCTCCTTTAAGTCAGAAAAAAAAATGGAAGAAAAACGTGAAAGTCCATGACAGGGCCATTAATCTTTTATGTAACAAATGGGCCAGGTGCTGTGGCTCATGCCTGTAATCCCAATACTTTGGGAGGTTGAGGCAGGAGGATTGCTTAAAGCCAGGAGTTCGAAACCAGCCTGGGCAACAAAGTGAGAGACCCTGTCCCTACAAAAATAGTAATTTTTAAAAATTAGCTGGGCGAGGTGGCACATACCTTTAGTCCCAACTACTTGGGAGGCTGAAGCAGGAGGATATCCTGAGCCCAGGAGCTTGAGGCTGCAGTGAGCCATGATCACGCCACTGCAGCTTGGGGGAAGAGAATGAGACCCCATTTCTAAAAAACAAGATAAAAATGCTACCATGGCTCTTACGATATGGCGGGTGTTATTTTAAACACCTAACAAATGTTAGCTCTTTCGTTGTCATAGCAAGCTTAGGGTATAGGTACTGTCATTACCCCATTGTACAGGTGAAGAAAGGGAAGCAAAGTCAAGTGACTTGCCCAAGGTCACACAGCTAGAAGGTAGGGGGAGTCAGGGCCCAAACCCAGGCCAAAAGGCTGCAGAGTCTCTGCCCACAAGCACCGTGTTAGGCTGCAGTTCTCTGAGGAGGGAATTCATACACAAGGGCAACAAAAGATGCTCCGTTTGGGAATTAGAGAATTGCAAAGAAAAGCAAAGTATCAGCCAGGCGCAGTGGCTCACACTGTAATCCCAGCACGAGGTAGGTGGATCACAAGGTCAGGAGTTCAAGACCAGCCTGGCCAAGATGGTGAAACCCCATCTCTACTAAAAAATACAAAATATTAGCTGGGCGCGGTGGCAGGCGCCTATGATGCCAGCTACTCGGGAGGCTGAGGCAGGAGAATCGCTTGAACTCGGAGGGCAAAGGTTGCAGTGAGCCAGGATCGTACCACTGCACTCTAGTCTGGGCAAGAGAGTGAGACTCCGTCTCAAAAAAAAAAAAAAAAAAAAAGAAAAGAAAGGTATCTTTTTTACTCATCCAGTTGGCAAACGTAAAAGATTACTAATCACTTTGGGAGGCCAAGGTGGGTGGGTCACGAGGTCAGGAGATCGGGACCATCCTGGCCAATATGGTGGTGAAACTCCGTCTCTACTAAAAATATAAAAAATTAGCCAGGCACGGTGGCGGGTGCATGTAGTCCCAGCTACTCAGGAGGCTGAGGCAGGAGAATCACTTGAACCCAGGAGGCGGAGGTTGCAGTGAGCTGAGATTGCGCCACTGCACTCCAACCTGGCGACAGAGCAAGACTCCGTCTCAAAAAAAAAAAGGATACTAATATTCCTGTGTGAGGCTTTAGAAGGGGTGACTGCTCTTCCGATTTGGAAATACATATAAATTGGTAGAACCTTCCTAAAGGACACTACCTATTAAAATAAGAAGTGCCCAATCCTTCCCCTCAGGAGTCCCACCCTGCATGGAAGCACAGGAGAGATGCAAGAGTGAAAATCAGGAGACAATCGAAATTAATTTGAGGCCAATTTCTGATGCCACATTATTTCATCTAAAAGATGAAATTTTTTTAGATGATATTTCTAAAAGATGCCCTCCAGGGGCATGGAGTCGTGGCTACTGTTCCAGTCTATCCTGCCCAGCTTTCCCCAGCTTTTCCTCACCTTTCCCCAGGCCCTGGTCTAGCAGACAGACCCCAGGCTGCCTGGGTCTTGGCACTAGGAGGACGAGCATCTCAGCGGGCCCAGTCCCCTGCCACGGCTGCCCTTGTCCCCTCTGAGCTGCATCCTGGGTCTACAGGGGACAGGCGGCAGTATGGACATGGAAATAAAGGCCCCCTTTACTAGGAGAAAAGTCTGTGGCCCGCACCTAGAATAGCACTGCTCTAAGCCATAGGACAGAGTGAAAACTACACAAGTTGCAGAAAATACACTGTAATCCCATTTATGTTTACAAAATAAGAAGTAGGACAGCACAAGCCAGCGCAGGAGACTTGCCTACCCCGGGGAGCAGTGACCTGTAGGTAGAGAAAAGTAAGATTGAAGATTAAGGACAGAAAGAGGTTTTGCTTTGTGTTTGAAAATTTTAGAATGAGGATATATTTTACTTGTGTAATTTAAAACTTTTAAGAGGCCAAGCCTGGTGTCATTAGAACAACAATATAAATAATGATCGTTTTGATTTATAACCCACTGAATAACATCAATATCTGGGAGTCCATAATGACATAAATAATTGAATTAATTAATGATGGAGAAGAGACAGCTCTTCCTTACAGAAAACGTCAGTCAATACTCTGGGCATGATGGCTCACGCCTGTAATCCCAGCACTTTCAGAGGCCGAGGTGGGTGGATCACTTGAGGTCAGGAGTTTGACACCATCCTGGCCAACATGGTGAAACTAATAATACTAGTATTAGTCTCTACTAATAATACAAAAAAAAAATTAGCCGGGCCTGGTGGTGCGCGACTGTAATCTCAGCTACTTGGGAGCCTGAGGCATGAGAATCATTTGAACCCGGGAGGCGGAGGTTGCAGTGAGCCAAGATCATGCCATTACACTTCATCCTGGGTGACAGAGTCAAACTGTGTCAAAAAAAAAAAAAAAAAAAAAGCGGGGGGAGAAAGGGGAGACGGGGAGAAAGAGAAAAAAGAAAATTCCAGTCAATAATGTAGGAAAAGGGGCAACAGAAATCACCATCAGGCAAATTCCGCAGTCATATTTGTAATAGGCAAGCTGCAGCCCTGAGTGCTGCGGTCAGTCACTGGGGACATGTTTGAGGGAAAACAGAATATTTGTCTAATCTCGAGTATTTTCCCCCAAGATGTTTATTAATTACAAACAGAAAAACAGTAACCTTACAGGGGAGAAACGCAGCAGGCTGCGTCAGGCGATGAGGTTAACGTCACCAGTAACGAGGCTAACAGACAACACGTGCCCCCGATAGGGTGCACTGAGGCACGGAACTTCCGTGACATCCCTCCAAAGATGCGCAACTCCCTACTCATGAGAAAACGTGAGACCAACCCAAACGGAGAGACATTTTGCAGAGTGACCAGTGCTTCAAAAGTGTCAAGTTTATGAAAGACACACAGATTGAGGGACTGTCACAGATTGGAGGAGACAAGGAAGACAGTTTAGCTAAATGCAGTGTGAGATCCTGGAACAAAAGGCCAGGAATGGAAAAACTCGTGATGTTCAAATTAGGGTAATCGTTTAGTTAATGGTATTGTATCGATGTTAATCTTCTGGTTTTGATCATTGAACTATGGGGCCGGGCGCAGTGGCTCACGCCTGTAATCCCAGCACTTTGGGAGGCTGAGGTGGGTGGATCACTTGAGCCCAGGAGTTTGAAACCAGCCTGGGTAACATGGCAAAACCCCATCTCTACTGAAAATACAAAAAAAAAATTATCCGGGCTTGATGCTGCATGCCTACAGTCCCAGCTACCCTGGAAGCTAAGGTAGGCTCAATCTCTTGAGCGCAGGAGGCAAAGATTACAGCGAGCCAACGTCGTGCCACTACACTCCACCTGGGCAACAGAGCCGAGACTCTATCTCAAAGAAAAAAAAAAAAGATAATTGAACTATGAGTATGTACAATGTTAGCATTAGGGGCAGCTAGCTGAAAGGTATAAAAAGAATTCTTTACTCTTTTTGCAACTTTTTTGTACATCTAAAATTACTTCACAACTACAAAATAGTATCAGGAGTCTGGAACTGCAGGACTACCAGCCCCCTCTTCCCTCCTCAGTGCAGTGAGAGCTGTGGCCAGTGCCTAGATGGGGGCTGAAGGCGGAACAGGATCCTACCAGCAGCTTTCCAGATCTAGAACATCTTGGCTCTTTAGGAAACTTGATTAGATGCCAAAAGAAAAAGGTTGGCATTTTAAAGTTATTCCTTAACTTAGAAATATAAGTAGTCAATGCCAGGTATAGATGCTTTTCTACCCTGGGTTATATGACGGTAAGTTAAATACTAATGACAGGTATTGAGTTGGCTACTTGGAGGAAGACTCAGGCACAGACACAGTACAGTCACAGTCCTTTCCCCATAGTCATTTTTTAAGCCCTTTATTGAGAGAGAATTCATATACCACACAATTCACCCAACATCAAGTATACAATTCAGTGACTTTTATAGATTCACAGGGTTATGTAACCATCACCACAATCAATTTTAGAATGTTTTCCGTGTCCTTGAAAGAATCCCTTAGCCATTGTACCCTATTCCCCCATCTCCTCCAATCCTAGGCAGCCTCCAGTCCACTCTCTATATCCATAGGTTTGCCTGTTCTAAACACTTTCAAGAAAGGGAATCATGCAATATGTAGTCTTTTATGATTGGCTTCTTTCACTTAACACAATGTTTTTAAAGTTCATTCATGTTATGGCATGCATCAGTACTTCATCCCTTTTTATTGCCAAATAATAGTCCATTGTATGGCTATACCACACATTTATCCATTCGTCTATTGATAGACATTTGGGTTGCTTCCGCTTTTTGGCTATTGTAGATAATGCAGATGTGAACATGATTGATGTACAAGGTTTCATGTGGCCATAAGTTTTCATTTCCCTTTGGTATATACCTAGGAGTGAGCTGCTGAGTCATGTGGTGACTCTATGTTTAGCCTTTGGAGGAATGGCCAAACTGTTCTCCAAAGCAGCTTGCACCATTTTACATTCCCACCAGCGATGTATGAGGGTTCCAGTTTCTCCACATCCTCATCAACACTTGCTATTATCTTTTAGCCATCCTGATGGGTGTACAGTAGTATCTTGTGGTTTTGATTTGCATTTTCCTGATAGCTAAGGACACTGGGTATCTGTCATTTCTGAGATTTGCCAGATGTGTTCAGCACTGGTGTCCCCTCCTTGTGAGATCACTGTGACTACAAACTTACAAGCTTGGGGACTATCGAGAATGACTGGGCATTGGGTTCTCAGGGCTCCAGAGCCATGGTCCTTTTGAAGAGCCTGAATCAAGGTATGGGGCTCTGGAGAGTTCTGTGTGTGCTTGTCACAGGGGTCTTGTTTATTCAAAAGACCCAACAGCCTTTCATGACCCCTTGTTCCTCTTCCTCTCCCAGGAGGTCCAGATGGTTCCTGTGACTCCAGCTTCAGTAGCAGCATCAGTGTCTTCACTGCAGCCAGGTAAGTGGCTTGTTTCAGCCAGAGGGTTTGTGGAAAGCAAGTGACCTAGATCTTTCCTGGATGCAGGAGACTACAGCAATGACCCAAAGCAAACCCTACTCGCGGCTGCTGCTTTTGGGACACCCTCGTATACAAAAGAGTTAATTGATGAGGGAATCTGAAGGACATTGAGCAAGCCCACCCCACCCAGGCTGGATGGATAGATAAGGTGGATTAGAAGCCATTGGGGGCCAGGCGTGATGGCTTACGCCTCTAATCCCAGCACTTCGGGAGGCCGAGGTAGGCAGATCGCTTGAGCTTGGGAGTTCAAGACCAGTCTAGGCAACATGGCGAGACCCTGTTTTTACTGAAAATACAAAATATTAGCTGGGCGTGGTGGCATGTGCCTGTGGTCCGAGCTAGTTGGGGAGGCTGAGGTGGGAGGATCACTTGAGCCAGAGCAGGGCAGAGGTTGAAGTGAGCTGAGATCACACCACTGTACTCTATCCTGGATAACAGAGTGAGACCATGTCTGGAAAAAAAAAAAAAAAGAATGAAAGAATGAAAGAAAATGGATTGTTCTTACTTATTTTTAAATATTAAAAAAAAAGTAAGCTATTGGAGGTCAATAAACGCAAGAAACGCAAGTTGTAATAATAAAAGTACAGCTAATACCGGTGACTGCAGTGAGACACTTACAGTTGCCTTGACTTAGCACCATCTGTTTGTCCAGGATGATATGAGGCCAACAAGACCGACAAGGGGAAGTCTGTTCAAGGACAGCCTGGAGCATGGGTGGTCGTTAATCACATCCAAGATTAAGGATAAATCACAGGCCCCAGGAGCTGTTGTCCCTGTGCGCCCAGGTCAGCTGTAATGGCGCAGTCTTCCACATGGGGGCAGTGCAGGCCAGGCAGCAAAATAACTCTCTTCCTTGCAGCTCCCTCCATACTCCCTGCAAGGTGAGGGGACTCCCCGGGGAAGGCACTCTCACAGTTCCACCCTGGTCTGAGTCCCCTGGACTTGCCCCATGTCACTTTTTCTTTGGGTGACATTGGCATCTCTGGGGCTAGAGTGGATGGTGGATCTTATACAGGGGTTTCTTCCCCCTGAACTTGACAGTGAACCTGGGCCCTGGGAGAGCCAGTCACTCATGAAGAGAAAAGGTGCACTCTCCCCCAAGAGCTTCTCCCCACAGACCCCTAGCTAGGGTTCTTCCCTCGTCGATACCATTTGTGAACTTACCTCATCCCTCGACACCCTGAGCATGTTTTCCAAGCACGCAGGTGCAGCCGATGATGAAATGTGCCCCTACGAGCCCCTGCATGGATGGAGCAGATCAGTGAATGTCACCATTCTCTCGTGTTCATGTAGTCACACGTTCCAGTGCACCTGCCTGTGCTCACCCCTGCAGGCTTCAAGATAAGAGCTGGCCCCTGAGTGTGTCCCTGACCTTCATTCATTTACTCTAGTGGTGAGGCAGAGAAGCAGCCAGGAAGTTACTGGAAAGGGGAGCGACTGATGTGAGGGGTGAAGTTACTGGAAAGGGAGGGCCATGGTGCCTGAGCCCAGGCACTGAGAAGACTGGCTGGGAATAACAGCTAATGCCAGTCAACGCAGCCAGGCTTCCAGGGCCCCAGTGCAGTGCTAAACCTTCATATCGGATCCTTTAGCTTTGTCTGAGTCCCGTGGGGTCAGTAGTTTCATGGTAGGGACGAGAAGGGAGGGAAGCACAGGGGGCTGCTCTGTGGACAGTGGATCTAGGAGGGGCCTGGTGGATGCAGACCTGCTAGGGAGCTGTCACCATTGTCCCCATCAGAGGGGATGGGGGCTCAGGCTGGGGAGGAGCAGCATGTGGAGAAAGTTGGGTGGGTTTGGGCTCCGTGTTGAAGGTGGAACTGCAGAATTCACTGCTGGGTGGGATGGGGTAGGCAGGAGAGAGGTGAGGGAAAGACTGCCTTCTAGAAATTTCGTGTGAGCCAGACCCCGGCTATCCTGATGTCATTTGCACACCAGGGCTGGAAGGAAGAGCAGGTGTGGGTGGGGTGGTCAAGAGCTCTGTTCCAGGTGACTGAGCATCCCAGCAGGAGGGAGGCAGACTCAGGTACTGGGCCATGGAACTCGGGGAGTGGTCTGGACGGACACACAGGGACTGGTGTATCCTGCAGAGGGCTTAGCTTTTGCGCTGGAGGCTGTGGAGACAGTATCACAAGTGGGAATGGCAGGATCCGATCTGGGATTTAAAAGCCTCCCTCTGGCAGCCAAAAGCCTGTTGTAGACTTGTCTCTGTAATCTGGCCTATGAGGATTAAGGGGGAGGTCAGGGGAAGTCTAGGAGAAGGCAGAGGTAGGCTTAAGCCGTGGGCTGCAGAGGGGCACCACTGTCCACTGCCTCGCTGGGGAGACTGCGCTACCGTTGGCTGGGATGAGCCTACAGGAGCCCTCAGTTCTTGTGCCAAGGCCGGGGACCGCTAGACTGGAACCAGGGTTTTGGTTTATACCTCTCATTCAGAAGCCGATGCCAAATCCTACCTAAACTCCAAACCATCCTACCTAAAAAACCAAACAAGAACAAATGATCTAGTGCTTCCTGACTCCTGGTGACAGAGGTCCCCACGTGGCAGCTGCACAGTCAGCATCACCAGCTGTGCTCAAGAGGTGGGTGCCTTCAGAGTTGTAAAACCAGAGCCAAGATGCCCGGGCCCCAGCGCACCACCTTCTTCCCACAGCTGGTGTTAACAGTGAGACTGAGCTTGGACACAGGTGGGATGGTGCAGGGTCGCCAGATAGCCAGACCCACCCAGCCAGACTCTGTCACACACACACCAAAAAAATGCACATCCACATGAAATTCAGAATTCACTTTCATGGGTTCAAGGATCACCATGGAAGCAATCCTTGCATCCCAGATTTTTAATAAAAGATTTCTCATTTGTACCAAAACACAGGGAGAATTAACTGGCTAAACCTGAGAGCAGAAGCCTTCCTCTTCCCCCTCCCTCATCTCCCCTCTCCCTGCGATACTGGAGAAGCCCCTGGTGGCCCCAGGCTTAGCCACGGAAGAATGTCACCTGGAAAAGCAGCGGGTGACGACATGGCTGTAGTCTGGGTTCCTCCACCCTCCAGAGCATGGGAAATACATGGGAGGTGGAAAATTGGACTCCCCAGGGAGAGGTGGAAAGTGAAGGAAGCAGGATGGAGGAAGGATGCTTGCCAGCTCAGGAAAGGGTTAAGAGAGAAATGTCTCCACTGGGTGTGTTCTCTCTCCTGACTGCTCTGCCTGGTGGAGCCAACTGTCCGGATTCACGCCCTAACTCCAGCATGCCTGGCTGTGGCCTTGGGCAAGTAGCATGATTTCCCCCACCTCAGTTTCCTCATCTTTAAACTCAGTGTAATGATAGCACTGACCCCAAAGGGATATGGGACTTCAACGAGTTAAAGTATGTAAAGAACAGCCAGGCATGGTGGCTCACGCCTGTAATCCCAGCACTTTGGGAGGTGAAGGCAGGCTGGTTGCTTGAACCCAGGAGTTAGAGACCAGCCCAGGGCAACATGGTGAAAGCCCGTTTCTACAAAACATACAAAAATGAGCTGGGTGTGGTGGCACATTCCTGTAGTTCCAGCTACTCAGGAGGCTGAGCTGGAAGGATCATTTGAGCCCCGGAGCTCGAGGCTTCAGTGAGCCGTGATTGCACTACTGCACTCCTGCCTGGGTGACAGAGCAAGACCCCACTCCTGCCTGGGTGACAGAGCGAGACCCTGTCTCAATAATCATAATTTTTAAAAGCTTTTTAAGTGTGTCAAGAACATAGCATGGTGCCTGGGCCGCAGAAAGCACTTTACACATTTTAGCTACAATTGTTATTACAGGAACCTTGTTATTATCCCCATCTTACAAATGAGGAAACAGACCCAGAGAGGTTAACTTCTTGCCCAAAGTCACTCAACTAATTAGTAGCCAAGTTGGAATTCAAGCTAGATCTGTCTGACTCCAGAGCCCATGCATTCAACTTTATTAGTTGCAGTTGGAGAGTTCCAGAAGTTTTGCATTCGGCCTCCCTAACTCATTTGATTTAGTAGTTCTCAAACAAGTGTTGTATGAACAACCTCCACTATGATGCTCAGGCTGTTGCCAAGGGTCATGATGTCTTCAGTGACACCAGTTCTCCTGGTGTAGCTAGCTGCCGTGTAAATAAGCAGGCAGAAAGTTCTAGAAATCAGTATTTGCCAGCTTTTAGCCTCTGCTGATTGAAAAAAAAATCATAATTATCTGTATTTTAAAGAGCAAGTTCAATTTCAGAAGCAATTCTATTTTTAGATTTACCTTTCTTCTATTTTTAGATTTACCTTTCTTCTGATTTGATTAGAGATGTAACCCGAACACCGTAAAAAGTTAGACGTTACAGAAATGAAGTGCTGTCTCCCAGAGAGAACAACTGGAACTTCTTATTATTTATTGGTAGTATCAGAAGCTTTATTCAGTAAATCTATATTTTAATAGCCACAGCAGCGCCATGCATTTGGAAATTGGAGTGCGTGTATGTGTAAGACATTCATTATAAGATGTTTTATGAGAAAATGCTCCATGAAAATGGAATTTTGCAGACACCTTGAAATAACTCAGAAGCCCCCATGAGTGACTCGTCTAGACTTTTTGGAACTGACGCAGAAATGTCTTTTAAACTGAGTGAGCTCCCTCTGTTCTTGATGGGTAAGGTAAGCAAGGACAGCAGGGTGCTACCTCTCAGGCTCCGGCCCATCAGCTGGGGAACTGAGCACATCATGCAGTGTCCCCCTCTAGGAAGAGTACAGGGTCCCGGAGCCCCAGTTGCCCTGCTGAGCACGCGCAGAGCTCAGCAGCAGCAGCCAACCCGGCCCAGCAGAGCAGCTAGGAGCTGATGGCAGCTGGGATCTTGACCCTCCCTTTCCCAGGCACTCAGATCAGTCTGCCTGGTCCTCTAGGGTCTACCTGCTTCCCATGATCTCCACCTCCAGCCAGGCAAGGGAGGAAAAGCCCAGGGATAGTGTCTCCAGCCCAGGGAATGAGTGCTTGGTACATGGCCTCATGGTCTCAGATGGGTCCCGTACTGCCTCTGGACCTGGGCTTGCTCATCTGTGCCTTGAAGGATTGTGTTACCTGAACCGTGAGGTCCCTTTCAGTGATGAGGTTCCGGTTGGGTGCGGCGGGACTGCCTCAGCAGCAGCCTGAAGATGCCCCATACCTTCAGATTCACTGTGTTCAGGTGTTTGCTGTGGAGAAAGTCAGAGAATGCTAATACACGAAATGCTGCCAGTTCACATACCAGTTCCGTGACACGCTGCCATTCTTTGGCCCTGACACAGCACCACTTGCAGGACAGGCCCCATGGGCTGGCCAGCAGCATCTCCGGGCCACTGTGAGCCGCGGAGCTCGACTTGCGGAGGGGCCATCCAGCCCGGCGTCTTGGCTCTTTTGGGTTCTGAGTGTGCCCTGCGCAGGTGGGGAGCACCAGGCTTTCCTCTGTCTCCCCTTCTTTTTCTTTTTTTTTTCTTTTTGGTACAGGGTCTTGCTCTGTCATCCAGGCTGGAGTACAGTGACACAGTCATAGCTCACATAGGTGAGCTGACAGCTGGGAGCTGGCAGCAGCTGGGATCTTGTAATCCTCCCACCTCAGCCTCCCGAGTGGCTGGGACCGTAGGAGTGTGCCACCACACCCAGATAATTTTTTAAATTTTTCATAGAGACAGGGTCTTGCTGTGTTGCCCAGGCTGGTCTCAAACTCATGACCTCAAATCATCCTCCTGCCTCGGCCTCCCAAAGTGCTGGTATTTCAGGTGTGAGCCACTGTCTACCCTTCTGACTCGAAAATAAGCTGAAAAGTGTGTACTAATGTTCCACGGACACCTGGAGCTGCCAGGTATCCCCTGGGCTCAGAGGGGCTGGTCCACACAGGAGCTGCTGTTCTGCTGCTCCTCCCAGGAGACAGTGGAGGCGATGCCACCAGGGACTCTCTCGGAGCCTGCTGCCCTGGTCAGGAGGCTGTGCCATGTGGCAGATGAGATTATTCTGGAGTCAGACTGATCAGATCCAAAGTGCGGCCCCACCACTCCCTGGCCGTGTAGCCTTGGGCAGGTGACTTCACGTCTGTGTGCTTCAGTTCCCTCTTCTCTGAAATGGAAGTGGCGTGCCTTAGGTCATAAGGCTTTTTAAGGAGTGACATGAGGCTGTGTAGGAAAGCACCCAGCAGAGCATTCTTTCACAACCGTCATGGCTGCCATTGTTATCACAGCTATTATTCCCCCAGAGGCTCAGACACACCACTGATCCTGTCCCGTGACGGTGGAGCAGGGGACCTGGTCATGGCACCGCCCTCCTCACCAGCAGCTCCAGGGCAGTCCCAGGTCTCCCAGGGAAACAAGGAAAAACAAGGCCGTCCTCCCAGGGGGTGCTGTTTCAGCTAAGCTTGTCGCAGTGATGGGCCAGGCTGGGGTCCTTGTGACACCCTGGACCCTGGCAGCCTACAGGTCCCTGTGGCTCCTGCTGAAAAGGGGCTCACTACAGACTTTGGGGCTCTCAGGGTCAGGAAAGACCTGGTTGGGGGTGGGGGTAGCTTCTGTTCACCTGCTTTGCATACGGCCTTGGGCTATAGGGAGGCATCTCTTCCACCACCAGGACACGAGACCAGAGGAGCTTCTCTAGCCCAGGGATTCTGCCGGCCCAAGAAGTATATGGAACAGAACGCAAGGGAAGGAGCCCTGCGGGAGGCCAGCCAGGACAGGAAAAAGAGGGACTGGGAGATAAAACAGTAAATGCTGGCCATCAGCTAAGGGAGTAGCTAGGAAACTGCCAGAGATGACAAGAAAACACTCAGAAAGTCCTGGCGTGGACTGCTATGTGGGCCTCTGCGGCAGCCACATGGCTACTGAGTGCCTGGTGGCTACTCTGAAGCGAGGTGCACCATAACCGTGAAATGCACACCAGGTCCCAAAGGCTTAGGACACAAAAGAGAATATGTTTTGTTGGGAATATTTATATTGACCGTTATATTGATTACATGTTAAGATGCTAATATTTTAGATACACTGGGTCAGTTAAAACATAGCATTGAAATTCACTTCACCTGTTTCTTTCTCCTTTTTAATTGCAAACTGGAAGATGTAAAATTATATCTGTGACTGGCGTTGTATTTCTCCAGGACAGTGGTCTTGAGAGAAACTAAGAGATTGACAGAGCCAGTGTTTACCACCCTAGACTCCTCTACCTGCGCAGTACTGTCCCCGTCTGTCTTAGGCTAGCAAAGATTTAAATGTTTCGGTATCCTCGGAAGACGCCAGGAACTTCCAGCCACCAGAGGATAGATGTGCCCACTCTTGCCCCTGAAACGTGCACCATGGGGATCATCAAACCATATTAAATAGCAATTCCTCTTAGCAATTACAGAGCGCAGAATCGTGCCCTTTAGGGATTCACATCAAATGAGCTTCAGAGAGGCTGCAGGCGAGTGAGGAAAGCACAGCCATCAGTTCCTGATGCAAATGAATAATTGAGCAGCCTAGAAATGCCACAGAAGAGACCATTTTATACCAGCACGGGACTGATCTGCTGGCCCAGATCCTCAGGAAATGCATCCCCTGGCCTGCACCTGTCGGCACCGTTTGGGAAGTACAGTGCAGTGCCTTGGTAGGAAGGGAGCCCCTCCCCGACATCCTGAGGTTTTTCTACCCATGCTGCCCCCACCTTGAAAACCCAGCCTGTGCCAGGGAGCAGTGCTTTGGGCAGAAAACCAACTCATAGCCTCCCAGCAGCACCCGCCGTCCTGCAGGCTGCTTAGCAGGACTTTGGGGACCTGCAGGGCTTCAGTCCACAGAAGCCAGGGGGCTTCCTGTGCCCACCAGAACACAAGTACATCCTGAACAGTATCAGTTTCTCATAGGCAGAGGCTCTGTCACCCCTTCCGCAATGCAAAGGAGCACATTTTGGTCTCAACTCTCAAGGCGTCTCTCTTAGATGCCTTGGGGCAGGGTACAGTGACAAGGCACAATGACAAGCCTTGATCCCTGACCTCACTCGAGAAACATCCTTCAGGTGGCCGGTGAAGGGCCTGGTGGAGGTCAACAGTTATTATCGGGACCTTCCCTCATATAGTCTGGACCTGGTGGTTTTGTTTTTTTCAAGAAAGGGTCTGAACTTAATGCCCTGAGCCTGGTCAGGTCAGCTCAGTGACTCGGAGAGGGTTTCTCCTCCTGTACAAGCCAGGCTGGTGCTGGAGAAAGAAAAGGAAAAGTGAGTGGGAGCCCAGCAGACCGGTCCTCATCCCCTAAACATGGTTATCATGGTTCCAACCTAGCAGCAACCTCCAAACTCCTTTGGAAAGGGAGAGAGAGAAGCCCCCTTCAAACGCCCAGGGTGGGCCGAGCTGGGCTGCTGGGAGACCAGCAAGGATGTGTGGGATCGGGTCATCCCTGACCCCCGAACCCCCCAGACAGTGGTTAGCAGTGTGTGGTTCAGGATATGCAGGCCCAGGGTGGTGCCATGACTCCGTGGGAGAGGGCTATGGTGGGCGTCACCTCTGCTCTCCCTCCCGGTCTTACCCACAGCACTGAAAGAGCCCCAGTGACCCTTCACCTCGACGGGATCGTGCAGGTCCTGAACTGCCACCTCAGTGACACGGCCATTGGGATGATGACCAGGATTGCAGTTCTCAAGTGGCTCTACCACCTCTACATCAAAACTCCTCGGAAGGTGAGCCCCGGGCCCCTCCAAGCCAGGGGCCTCTTCCGGGTCCGCCTTGGTTTTCCAGGGCCTGCCCATGGTTAGTAGCATTTTGGTCATTGCACTTCTAAGGAAACCCTGGCTGGCAGAGAAGTGACAGGTGCTGCAAGGAGCCCTCGTTGTGTCGGGGAGGGAAGTGGTCTGTGCAGACCAGCGGGACACTGCACCGAGCACAGACCTGGGGTGAAGGGAGCGCTCACAGGCACCCCTGCTTCTCTGCTCTCCAGATGTTCCGGCACACGGACAGCCTCTTTCCCATTCTACTGCAGACGCTATCGGATGAATCGGATGAGGTAGGTCACCAACGCCACCCGTCCTTATGGACCATCGGCTGCCCTGCATCCCCTTGTTAGTGACTGATGGGCTCTTAGAGCTGAGATATGCTTATTTTGGTGCAGTGCATCCTTCCTAGAGGTAAAGCTGTGTTTAATACACACTTTGGGGCCAGGCGCAGTGGCTCACACCTGTAATCCCAGCACTCTGGGAGGCCAAGGCGGGTGGATCACTTGAGGCCAGGAGTTCGAGATCAGCCTGGCCAACATGGTGAAACCCTGTCTCTACTCAAAATACAAAAATTAACCAGGCATGGTGGTGCACACCTGTACTCCCAGGTGCTCAGGAGGTTGAGGTGGAAGAATTGCTTGAACTCAGGAGGCAGAGGTTGCAGTGAGCCAAGATCGTGCCACCGCACTCCCGCCTGGCGACAGAGTGAGACCCTGTCAAAAAAAAAAAACTCACTTTAGGACTGAGGACTCATCTGTAGACCCTTCTGGAGCACATGGGCAGGGCGTCAGTGAGGGAGGCAGCAGAGGGCAGGCAGGGAGCTTGGCTTGGGGTCAGGCTGCCCAAAGGCAAGACACTTAGTATCTCCGCATCTCAGCATGTCAGTTTTCCTCTGTTCAGTGAGGGCAGTAACCAGAGGGGGATGTGAGAGGAAAATGATCCATGTAAAATGCTTAGCACTGGGCCAGGCTCCTGCTGCACACTCAGTGTTGGTTGTGTTACTCATTTCAGCTGGACTCCATTATGACCTCTAGTTTGAAATTGGACCCTTAAGCTTTGCCTTTTTGGGGCCACCAAGAGCTGCTGGTACAGAGGGAAAGGCTGACCCAGATCCCAGGCAGCAGGAGTGAGCCCTCTGAGAAAGCTAGAGTAGTACAGAGGCTGGCCTGGGAGGTGGAGGGGGCACCTGGGTCTTCCTGTCATCTGGGCGAGAGTCTGCCCCAGCCACACACACCTTTCCGCACACCATTCTCAGCCATGCCCATTGTGTGGTGTTCCTTTACGGGGTTCCCCTGCCTCCCAGCCAAGCGGCAGGATTTGCAGTCGTGCGTGCCCATTGCACGGCAGCATCTCATCCCTCCATCCATACCAGCCCTACAGGTGGCATCTCAGATGCTGACGGTCCAAGCTGAGCATCAGCCCACTTTCCTCTTCTAAGCTCCAAGGCACTGTGAGCTGTGGGCAGAGCTGTATCTCCATGAGGCAGCCAGCTCATGAATCAACAGACCGGCCCACGCTGCAGAGCAGACAAGGCTAGGTGGGGGGACTGGGAAGGGGGCTATTGCTCACCATTCTCCATGGAGGGAGGCTCCTCGGTCTTCCCTAGGCTGGTGCCAGGCTTGTGGGGGGCCCGGGCAGCTGTCTTGCAGCCTGAATTTGCTTTCCTGAACCTGGGCTGAAGAGAGAAATGGACAGGCAGGTATCAGCCTCTAGGTCCTCTGAGGTTTTCTGTATTACCAGAAAAATCCAAAACAGATGGTCTGTGAGTATGCCCTTGGCCTATCTTGCCTACCCCCCCCCCGCCCCCATGCACACACACACACACACCCCCTCTCCCTGCGCCACCCCCTGCAGTGCGAGGCCCAGGTGGACGTGGCCCCGTTCTGCCTGCAAGTTGGGAGTGACTCACTGCACAGTCACAGCCCTCATTTCAATACAAAAAGGAAGAGCAGGACTTTGCTGATTGGTTCCTTCCCCAGGACTTCACTGGAAGCAGCTGAGTTTTCAGTCCTTTAAATTGAGTTGTTTAATCCCATCCAGCTTTCTGTGCTTGAAATTGGTTTTTGTGTGCGTGTGCATTTAAAGGGAGCGGGCGGAGATGCAGTCCATTAAACAGCGCTCTTCAGGCTGCGGCTGTGGAAACTCGATTTGCTGAAGTGCCAAATGTTATCAGGGCTTTGGGGCACGTCTTGTGGGCCTGCACTGGGGAGGGCATGGAAGCCGCTCTGGGGGACAGTTGAGGGGTACCATAACAGCGCTGAAGAGCCCCTGCTTCCCCTTCTCTCTAGAGGAGGGATTTGGGGACCTTAATCATCAGCGGTGAGTCCTGATTCTACGCCATCCTGGTTCCTTTCCAGAATCACATTCCTAAGTGTCCCCTGTTTAATCTTTGGTGAGCCTGAGGGTGTGCTGTGTACTTGGCAATGGGAATACAGCCATGAACAAGACAAAGCCCATCTTCTCCTGAAACTTCCTTTCTAGGATATCTAGAAAGTACCCTCTAGGGATTTTTCAAACATTTCCAAACAGCCCTGATCTCGAATTGGAGCTCCCTGGGATTCAAGACTATGAAAGCCTATTTGGTCAAGCAGGAACACAGCCAGACAGGCAGGTCCCCTCCTACTGAAGTCCTCACTCATGGACGTTAACCTCAATGCTCCCTCCGAAGGCTCTCACATCCAGCTAGGCAGCCCCGCAGCCCAGATTGTCGTGGAAGATTCTTAATTGTAGGAAGTCATTACCATGGGAGGAACCATGCTAGACCCTTTACCTGTGTCTGTAGAACCCTCACGGCGGTTCTCACTTCCGTTCTGCAGTTCAAAAAAACTAAGGCCTGAGGGGGTCACGTGACCTGCGCTGCACCCAGCTAGGAGGTGATGGAGCTGAAACCCAGGGCCAGATCTGTTTGACACCAAAGCCTGGGACCTTAACAGCTTCCTCATCAAGCCCAAGTCTCGCCCAGCATGCTCCCAGCCCTTGTCAGCAGCAGGAGGCAAGCTTGGGTGTGGTTGTATCTTCTTCCTCATTTCCTCATGATTTCACCAGGGGAAGGTTTTGTGGTCTTCTTCTCTTGTTCCAGAAGTTCTTGAGTGTGGAGAGGTGTATGTGTTTTTTGTTGTTTTTATGGTTTTTGTTTTTGTTTTTGTTTTTTGAGATGGAATCTCACTCTGTCACCCAGGCTGGAGTGCAGTGGTGTGATGTCGGCTCACTGCAACCTCCACCTCCTGGGTTCAAGCAGTCCTCCTGCCTCAGCCTCCCAAGTAGCTGGGATTACAGGCATGTGCCACCACACCTGGCTAACTTTTTGCATTTTTAGTAGAGACAGGCTTTCACCATGTTGGCCAGGCTGGTCTCAAACTCATGACCTCAAGTGATCTGCCTGCCTCGGCTTCCCAAAGTGCTGGGATTACAGGCATGAGCCACCATGCCCAGCCGGTAAGTGTACTTTGAAAAAGCTCCCCCTTCAGCCCCCAGATCCTTCGTCCACTTTTCTTATTGATCTGTAGCAACTCTTTGTATATTTGGGACATTCACTTTGTCATCTGTGTTGCAAATGTCTTGCTCTCCCAGGACGGTTGTGATAAACCTGCATGCTCCTGCCTCTCGCTGAGAGCCACTGCTCTCAGGGGACAGTGTGCTCAGGTGTTCGTGATGCAAGAGCTGGCCCGGCGGAGCCTGAGACCCAGCTCTGCCGCCACCACTATCTCTCTCAGTCCCACAGGCGCATGGCCTCGCTGGGGTGTCTTGTCTGCCATTGTTCTTCAGTTCCACTGAGTGACACCTCATTAGTCTCCGCCCTCTGGCATCCTCAGTTGTTTCTGCCTTCCCATTATACAAGATAAGTGGCTGTTTCCTCAGCACCGCCTGCTCCTTGCAGACGTTATCTGAAAATCCCTTTTGTCAAAAAGAATTTGCAGGTGTCTAATTAATATTCCTGGCACTGGAGTAGAAATCCTCCCATAGCTAGAGATCCAGTTGTTTTTTAAGTGAAAATGTGACCCTGATTTCCACAGTGTAGAATGCAGGGTACATGCTCACTGCAGCCTGCTGGGTCCCTCTTTGGGAGGTGGGCCTGCTGCTTCCCCTGCCCAGAAGATGCCAGTGGTTGGCTGCCTGGCAGCCGCCATACTTCCTGAGTGAGTTCTGCCTGTCAGATGGCCATACCCCCACCTGTGAGTGTCCACGGGAAGGGGGTCCTCTCCGTGGTCCCGATGGTGGCACCTCAGGTAGTCCACAACTCCTAGGCCCAGCTGCCTCCCTGCCTGCATTTAGAACTCTCAGGGTGATCACAGTCTCCAGAAAAACCTGGAAGGATGTCTATTCACCTCTGAGTGAATGTGAACGTCCCAGACAGGCGGCCATGACCCCGGCTTGAATCCTAGCTCTAAACCTTCCTTGCCAGGGACGCTGGCCAAGGAGTTTACCCTCCCTGGGCCTGTGAAAAGGGGCTAATGATGTCTACACCTGCCTCATAGGTGTGTTTAAAGAGAAAGTGTAACCCCCTCCACCCAGATCCCGGCGCATTGTAACGACCTGTCTGTTGTTACAAGTATGTTTGGGGGAGCTTGGCGTCTGGCTGTGGTGAACTTCCCCACCCAGGAGCCAGGCTCTTTCTCAGTCCTGTGAGCCATCTCAATGTCCTTCAATAACGCTTTAGAGTCTTTTTTTGGAGGTTTTATTCACTTGTGATGAATACTCTCAGTGTTTTGTAATTTCGATGTGATTCTGAACGACTTCCCTCTCTGGTTCTTCCTTCCCTGCCCAGGTGACACTGAGGCCTGGTGGTTAAGAGCACGGGCTTTGGGTTCAGGAAGTCTAGGAGTCCACCCCGGGCTCTGCCACTTGATGGTTGGTAACCTAGCCTCTCAGCTTTAGGTTCCTTATTTATAAACAGAAAATAATAATGGAAGTTTGCTCCCAGGTTTGTTATAAGGATGAAATGAGATCATGAATGTTAAATGTTCAGCTCGGGACCCAGCACACATAAACCTGCGATAAGCAATAGCTCCTCCGACGCAGGAGGTCATTTCTCTAAAGGGCCTGGAGATGCACATTGAGATCAGGGCAGTGGGCTCCACGTCTGCTGCAGGTCCTCCCTGCCTCCACTTCAGTGGCAAAAGTCGGGACAGAGGCTGCTCTCTGTTTTCCTGCCCGTCTCTAGAGGGCAGAGGACCTCAGAGGTGTTTGAGGGACTTGAGTTCTATTTTGAGGTCATAGAAAGGCAGACGAGGACACAGTGGGCCGCAGGACTGGCCTCCTGTACATTTCTGTCCCCTCCCGTCCTCCCTTC